CAAAACTCAGAGGCTCCATCTCAAATAAAGAAGAAAGGACACAAGGAAGAAGCCAAACCAACCAAACTGTGCAGCTCACTTAGCAGGTAGTAGCTGCCTTCAAGAGACAAGTGGGGGATTTATTCTATTACCTAGAAGCAATCCATCTCAAGGTGTAAAGGTTTCAGGGGATAAAAAAATAAAATCAAATTTCAGCATTTTCTCAAGGTGATTGGTACCAAGGAAATGCTGGAACACTTCAGCAGCTTCTTCCCACTCATTTCCTCACCATCTAGTGTCATCCTAATTTTTTTTGGCTGAATAAAAAGCAGTAGCTATATGATCAGACGGAATCTATTCCTTACCTCTGCAGATTTTCTGCGGTGACCCCAAAGAATGGATCTAAGCAACTTCCAAAAACAGTGATGTCAAACAAATCATTCGTGTCAGCAATCTTTAAGGACAATCTATATCTGTAGCTTGCATTTTTAGCTTCACCTGTGCAGCCACATTTTAGACAATTAAACCTGACAAAAGACAGTAATAAGATAAAAAAGATTCAATACATGAACTTCTGTGAATACATGAACTTACCTGCTGGGGTAAGAACTTATCTGCACTATTACTACTATAATGCATCAAATATTCCATTAAAAACTGTAAGATTTTTTTCTTATTCTGTACTTCTTGAGGCATTAATCTTACAAAGACCTCAGAGCAAGGCGTCTGTATCATGACAGAATGCCTCTGGCTTCTTTTATCAACATAATAAATGCAACCCTCTTGTGAAATTGGAGAGTTGGTGGGCTTTGAGTGATTGTTGGGGTGTAACTTTCCATTCCCTGCACTTTCATTTTTCAAGTTTCATTCTGGTTTGGGATTTTTCATCCTGCAGCATTAGTATAAATATCTAGGTTTAAAAAAAAAATAAATCATCAGGACACTGCACTGTTACCTTGTATTTCAGCATTTGAAACAACAGTTATCCCTGCTTTACAAAGTCAGCTCCTTCCATGCACTGCTGACATTCATTGATTTACTGTTCTTCACCCAACACTGTAATTAGAAAGGAAAGCTCACACATTTCTGGACACACAGTCAGTGTAAGAGTCATACAGGACTACCTGGTGTGTTGCACATATATAATGAGATGAAAAAAAAAAATCAAATCAGAATTTCATTTAGAGGGGCTTTCAGTCAATGCTTTCCAACTTAAGAACAGCACGGAGTGACTGGACAGACTGCAGGGGATGCACTTGGAAGCCATTAACACACATCATTTATTCTGCTATACTGTCCTTTGATATTGCATGACTTCTCGGTCTGCAATGATCTCCAAGCTGCTACTGGAATACAAAGCAATTCAAATAGTGATAAGCAACATAAATATCTGAAATCAGCACTTATTTCTAACAGCTGGATTTTCACCAATTTGCTTCAACTTGTGTCCAGCTAACAGAGATTCCCAAGTTAATGGAAAACATTTAAAGATCCCCAAAACAGGACGTACCTCCTAGAATCCAGTATCAGCCTAGATAAGCAGTTTTGACAGGCAGGATAGGTGAAGCAGGAATTCTGGATGGAAATCACAGAGGCAGCCAAAAGTCCCTTCACACTATTCATGTTTTCACAGCATCACCTGAAACAAGTAAGTCCAAATGATTTTAAGAGTTCTCATTTTAGGAGATGTTGATATTAACTGCTTTCACTTGGGTTGCTTGAACACTTTGAAAAGCAGCCCTCGGGAAACAATGACCACTGTTTGAAAAGTAACTTAATTAAGGTAACATCTATTATTACCTTTAATTAACTATTTAAAAAGAAGAAAAAAAAAAAGGATGAAGTTATGTAATAAGAAGGAAGCGTTCATGGCATTGCACACTATTGCAGACATCATACAAATTCTCATTTGTATTTAGGGAATCTTTAGTCTAACTAACCTTGAATGCAGCACTGCAGCAAACCACTTTTTTTTTTTCCTTAATTTAGAGTGAAGTCACAACATGGGGTTAAAACCTTAAATGATTCTACACTTGTAATTCTGCAAACTGGTTTTCAAATCAGAATCAGAGAAACAAACTTTTTTTTTTTTTTTTTTTTAATCGGCACTTTTAAAAGACATCAGAAAAAAACCAAAAACGCACCCCAGAAAGCAGAAAACACTGCAAATATTCCACTGAAATACGGTGGATATAAACCAGCGTGTAAGTGCTCTCGCAGGTTCTGGCAAGGGCCAAGAGACTCAAGATGTACAGCTCTATTCCTTTTCGGAAGAAATACAGAACTCGATTTCTGGACACAAGTTAAGGAGAGGGCAGCACAGACAGATCTATTTTGCTTTAATTTTTTGCAATAAACAACCCAACCCAAACCTTAGCGCCCGGCCGGGGAACCGCGATCCCTCCCGGCACTCTCGCCGCGCTCGCCGCCTCCCAGCAGCCCGGCCCTCCCCACGCCTCCCGCCGGGGCCTGGTGCCCTCTAGCGATCCCGCCACCTCGCTCTCTCCCTGAGGAACAGCAAAACACGAGTGGTTAACATGTTTCACGCCCAGTTTTCACCCCCGCGCCTCCCCGCGCTCACCGAGGGGCTGGATCGGACCGACCCCCTCCGGCGGGGCCGGGACTGCGCTCGGTGCTCCCTGACTCGCCCGGCACTTACGGAAGGGCGGAAGTGTGGGCCGCCGCGGGCCTCCGCTGGGGGCGGGACGACGAGGCGCTCGACCAATCGCGACTCAGCGCGACGGGCAGGGCGGCCGGGCTCGCCCAATCGCAACGCGTGGAGCGGTCAGCGCTCCTCCTCAGAACGCGCGAGGCGCCGAGGTGGGCGGATCGCGCGCCCAGCGCAGCCAATCGCCGTGCCCCTCGCGGGACGCCGCGCGTCCGAAACACCTGTTGAAGCGGGCTCAGCCAACCGCGGACGGGCGCGCGAGCGCATCCCCGACCGGCCGGCCAATCGGAAGGCCCAGCTGCTCAGGGCCCGCCCCCGCACGTGCCGGGCCGGCCCCGCCCCCCGCCGGGTCCCGTTCGGGGCAGCCCCCGGAGCGGGGACGGGGTAAAGCGCTGATCCTTCTCCTTCTTCTCCTCCTTCTCCTCATCCTGCCCGCCGCGATGCTGCGGCTCCTTCTGTCTCTCTCGCTCGTCGGCGCGGCCGGCGCCCTGCCAGCCCCTCCCCGCCTGCGCAGGGGCGCCGCTCCGGCAGCTGGACCATACCTGACGCGCTACCTGAGCCAGCAGGTACCTGGGAACCGGGCGTGGGCGGGAGGGGGTTCTCGTGGGCGTGCGGATGGCATTGTCACTACCACTAGTCTCACCTGAGCCACAGGCGGGACAGGACTACCCACAAGTTTCTGAGTGTAGTAAAACACTGCATTGCTAATTATTTATTAAAAAACCACTCTCAATCCTCAGTCTCTTTGGTAAAATGCTCCAAGCCTTGACTATTCCATTTAAAAGTGCGACTGTTTAAAGTGTTAGGTAGTCTGCTCTCTTGTGTCTGTACACCGTATCCTGGCAGCGGGGTCCGTATCCCAGCCCGTCCTGCACAGCAGGTCGGCAGCGAGGAGCCGGGGGCCGCGGCCGTGCCCTGGTGGCGTTTGCGAACATCAGCTGTGCGATTTATTTTGTTTGCTTTATCACAGAATGCTTCGGGCTGGAAGGGACCTCAAAGACCGTGTAGTTCTAACCCTTCCCCCAACCCTGGGCAGGGACAGCTTCCACTAGATGAAATATGGAAGAGATTTCTGTTACTAACCTGAGCTTTGTCATCCTGTTTGCTCTCAGGACTTATTTGCAAAATCCATAGTGCATGGACAGAGCAGAGGGCTCTGCAACGCTGGTTTAAAGTGTTGGTGTGGTTTCCTTGGGTAAGATTGAAGTCCCGCTTGTTCATAGGTTTTCACAGAAACAGTCAGCAGATCCTTTGATGTGATGAGGAAGATCTGCATTGTCACCTCTGCTGTACCTGGTTTTCACGGGGGAAGTAATGGTTCCTTATACTAGGAGGCACAGTAAGGGAAGAGGATGTTTTTCTAGTATTCTCTTGGTTTGTTTAGAATCAGGCTTGTAGCATGCAATCTGAATTTCATGCCCTGGTCTACATAGGGAGTGGTGGGAAGGAGGTGTTTAATTCACAGGCATAGAATCATTTAGGTTGGAGAAAAACCTTTAAAATCAAGTCCAGTTGTTAACCCAGCGCTTCAAGTTCACCAGTAACCATGTCTCCAAGTGCCACGTCTACACTTTTAAACACCTCCAGGATTGTTGATTCAACCACTTCCCTGTGCACCCTGTTCCAGCGCGATAACTGTGTCAGTGAATAATTTTTTGTTAATATCTTACGTAAACCTCTGCTGGTGCAACTTGTGGCGGCTGGGCATCTTGGGTGATATGTGGATTGAATATCTCCTATTTCAGCTTTGTAGAAGGTGAACTTATGATGGAGTGAGCAAGACGGGAAGATTACACTTTCAGAGAGGATAGATATGAAGAAAACAGAGAACCCTTTTAAGGTTATCCTGAATAGCTGTGGAGTAATTTTAGAGTCAAGGTCCCTGTTATTTGAGGTGAGAGATAGATTGGGCACAGTATTAGTGAGAAATCCATCCTTTGAGGTTATAACCTTCTGCAGACAGTGTTACTGGTTTGGGAATGCTCCTGTTGCAGTGATCACCCTGCATAAATCATGGAATTTCTGTGTCTTGAGAACATCTCTGTCTAATGCTCACTCGGGTAGTGATTTGAGATTTGTGTCCCTCAATTAACTCCTCTAAAGCCCTGAATCTTATTTTTGTAACATACTGCAGATACCTTCCACAGCGTGTGGTCAGTGTTGGCCAGGATATCAATCCTGCGGTGGTGGTGTAACTCTAATTGTTCTGGCACACCGGTTGTTACACACTGTTATCATGGTATTAGTCATGCTAATTCTGTGCCGTGGTCTGAACCGCCCTTTGTCACCATGCTGTGACACCTCTGTCCTCATCTCCTCCCTGGCTCGTGGTGTCACCTGGTTTTCCTCCTCAGCTCTCGGCAGAGACAGCCTATGTGCCTTCCAGTCGCCAGCAAAGTGGCAGAGCTGCTGTGTAGCTGAGATATGTGGATTTTGGGACGTAGATAGGTGTTGAGAGAAGGGAGGAAAGTGCCACAGTAACATCGGGTTGTCAAGTTGATGCCACACACTGTTCTCTTCAGTCTCTTCCTTGTTCTCTTCCTCTCATGCTTCAAGCAAAATCACGTCGGCAGAGAGTGGCTGCTGCGGGAAAGAGGGAGCCTGTGTACAGGCCTTGACATCCTTGGTGTCCTTGTCCAAAGACTTACTAGTATTGTTGAACAGGGTGGGAAGTGTGTATATGTTAATGTATTTTTCATATTCACCAAAGATTTGATTGCTGCTGCCTGGCACTGGGAAGATAGAGGGGTAGCGTGAGAGATCTGATCACACAGGGGATGTAAGACTGCTCTTTATCAGTAACACAGCGTGTAGAACTGATAGGCATTCAGCCCTTATGCACTAAGAGCTGCTGTCTGGGAATTTGTGATTACATTGTTATTCTGTAATGGAACATAAATACTATGATTAACGTGTTAAATAGGGGTGGTGATACTTTGCCACCTCTCAGGATTGTTGAAGTTTAATTACTTACATTATATTTAGTTAGAGCTCATGAATGAATCACCTGCTTGTGTTCCATGCTGCTGAGTCTTTCTTCTTAGCTAAGGATCCTGTTTTGATTCTTGTTTCTCTTTTTGATGGTTTTCATTGTAAGTTGAAATAATTTATATAAAACTATTCAATACAAAACCTGCTTAATAATATGGCAAAATGTTATGCTCACAAAGGAAACATTTTTTAATACCTGTTTCAATTAAAAACATATTTATAGTCTTTAAATATTTTATATTTCTACAAAAGAAAATGTTAAAACTCTGAACAGATTCTGTACATGAATTTTGTTGCTTAAAAAGTTACCTCTTGAGCACTGTAAACAGTTTAATAATGCTGCACATTATTAAATGTGAACTGAGGCTGAGAATTTTCACGTGCAATTCCAACCTCTAAATGGACCCTCTTGGCATGAAGGGCTATAGACCTGTAGCATTGCTTGAGAGTCAGCTTTTACTGAGAATCAATGATGTTTAATCTGCTTTTATAAAAATGGAGAAATAACATGGTCAGAATTCAGCTCAATGCTGATTTGCATTGAACTTCCTCCTGTTGATAGTTTTAAGTGTCAGACATCCCTGATGATGGGGCTAAAGTCTAGAATATTGAGAAACAGGTCAAGCAATGCCTGTGTCGGTGTGACTAGCGCCTTTGCTTGCTTTCTGGCCTATGTTCTTAACAACCCTTATCAGCAGATAGCCCTTGAAGCAGAAACTGTGCAATCACCCTCATCAACAAATTTTATCTATTTTGAGGGCGTTGATATTGGTCTCTTTTTCAGTGCTGATGTACTAGTGTGACTTCTGCAGGCAAGTCTGTTCTCACTTCCTCTTTGGTATTTTGCTTGCTTGCTAAAAGATTGATTGAGATTTGTGTGTGAAATTAATCCATCCAAAACTTAACTTTACAGAGAGTGCAGGATGTACAGAGCTGCTGAAAGACCACTACTGTCTGGATGGTTTCTTTGTAAGCAGCTGTGTCTGTGACCGTGGTTCAAATTTATTGGAAGGATTTAGTGAGGCATCCAAGAGCCATCTACTTCTCTTTACCCAGGTAGAAATAATCTTAGACCATAATGGGGAGGGTCTTGAGTCAGGCAGCTGCTCTGACCTTTGGGTGGCCTTGTTTTGTACTTCTGTATCCCTGTCTTTAGCCCAAATACCGGTGTTACAAAAGCCATAGCCTGAGAACTTGTAGTGGTTTATATGTGGTACCACTGAGAGAATAAAGCCTTAAATTTCCTGATATTTGAAGGCTTCTCAGTGATCAACTGTCGTCCTAGAAAAGAGAGTGGATGAGGCATCTCTTCACTCAATTTGATAATTGATGGCTGCATGAGACCTTAATGTGCTGTTGGACCCTTCACCCCAATCACACTTTGTAAGCACACACTTTGCTTTGTGAACTGCTATGAATTTGTCTAAGAACCAATGTAACAAGTAGAAATTAATTTTTCTTCAGCAACTTAGTGAGCCCGGTCCTTCAATCAGATTGAAATAATACATGTCAATTGTGTCCTCCTTTCCAAAAGAAGAGTTCTGACTGCGTTTAATAACCTCCTATATTTCACACCTATGTCAGTATTTCATAGCTTAGTCAATTGACATGCAAGTGTTTGTGCTCTGAAATGCATCTACACTTCAGATTGTGTGTGCATAAAAGGAAGCTTTGTTGAAGCTTCAAAGTAGTGAAGTTAAAAAAGTAACTGGCTATATCAGGAGTCTTAATACCCTATTTTGTGTTACAGACTGAAGTTCTGAAGCATAGAAAATGAAAGCTTTGGTTGAAAATTTGAAAATTAGAACACAAGTTTTAAGCCAGAGAAGAATTTGAGGACTCCAAAGGGGAAAGGAGGATACATTTTTTTCAGACATGATTCTTTCTATTTTACAGAAAGGACCAATTAAAAGGAAATGCATGAATAAAAGAATTTTCCTGCTCTAACTAGAAATCTAACTATCAAAAACCAATTTGAATTCAGGTTACTTCATGAATGTGCTCAGTAAAGAAAATGTAGGGACTTTTTATGACAATGTTGTCTTAATTTATCAAATTTATCAAAACTAAGGGTGTGGTTTTGCTCTTAAAAAAATGTTCCATCTCTTGTACTCACAAGAAGGAAGTTTACATTTATGGAACAACATATCCTTCATCCAATTCAGCATTTTTCAGTATTTGAAATTTTCACTGTTGTTGGTAAAAGTGTCACTAAAAACATGTATACAACAGTTATATATAAACAGTTTTAAAGTTAAGGGAGTAGTTTTCAACCACGGGTCTAAAACTTGCTTAAAAAGGTATTGAGATGGACTGAGGTTATAATTTTTAATTGTGGTTGGCAGCTTTTTTAGCATCTTATTGTGACTCAGGTTGGTGTCTCAGAATAGTAACAGATGTCGGGAATGGTTAAGATGGGTTTGTTTTTCATGCCTGGCACCATAATACAATAGCACATTTGACTTCTGGTGAAGGAAAAAACAAAGTGCTTTTTACAGAGCCCCTTGGTACCAATTAAAAGTTATGCCGGTGTTTAGAGAAGAAGTGATGCTGATGTTTGTCTCTGAGGTGAATTACTTGGAATATATGTTTTAATCATCAAGTAGTACAGGAGCACTTGGCAGCTCTTACTCTGTGATTTCATAGCGTGATTTAAAACAGGAGCTGTAAGCTATAAACCAGGTCCATAAGCAGAAACAATAGGTCTTATTCAGCAGACAGGAAAACAGGGAAGTACTTGTTAAAGCTTGTCAGTGAATTTTTATTTTTATGCACTACTTATCTGTGGGGTCACAATGCAGACATCAGCTTCTCAAATTAAGCAGGAAACAATTTCCTCAGTACTTGCAGCCTCTTCCTTCAAGTGAGCAGTTAATACCGGTGATTACAAAAAACATCAGTGATCACTACTCTCCCTCTGAAATTGAGCATTTCTTATCTTACTAGTTTTAATCACTAAAAGCTGTAATAGTCCACTGAAAGATTTCTGGTAGACTGTCTAGATTAAAGAAAGTCTAAAGAACAAAAGAGTGAGCAGAAGTGCATATGACTGAAGTAGCAAGCTGTTTACAAGCCAGATGTGCATGAGAACTCCTGTTAACTTCATTGAATTTTACTTGTACCATGAGCTTCTAGAAGTTGAAGTAAAGTCTTAAGAGCTGATTTTTTTTTTTTTTTTTTTTTTTTTTTTGAGGGGACTGAGTGGAGCTATAGGGAGCAAAACGAAGTAAAATATATAATGAAGGAAATAAATGAATGAAGAAAACTTGATGCTAATGAATTCTGTATCTGTTTCTTCATCTGACTTTGAGGAGATCAAGGCAAACCATCAGCACAAGAAATTGTGGTAGACCACACAGATAATTTGTAGCATTACGCCAAGTTGGTGAGAGACCAGGGATCAGACTTGATTATTTCATTTTAAGCCTTCAAAAACGGAAGAAATAGCTTGATTTATTTAATTCATTCTGGAATATTTGAAATTTATATCTAAAGTAGTGAAACTTCTAAGAAATTTAATGGGGTAAAACAGGTTGTACTCGGTCATCTTACCTATATTCTGTGAAAATGGTTAGTTTCTTTGTTTTCCAGTCCTGTGAATTCAGAGAATTAAATATAGACAGAAGAATGGGAATTGCATTTCTTTTAAGCACAATAAGTAGATACTCCTTGCCTGTGGCATAGGGGGATAATTTTCTTTTTTATTTTAAATTTTTAGTTGCTGTCTCCTATGCTTTCGTTCAGCTCTAGCATGCATGTGTAGTATTTTCTGACACTCAGTGCTGTTACAGTGCTACTGCCAAGTGGCATTAGTGGCCAGTTGTGGTATGGTTGGTGTTCCCTAAATGAACATAGTGAGCAAAGAACAAAACTTGTGATACTTGTGGGCTGATGTTTCTAACTTCAAGTCGACGTAACAGCTTTTTCCATTATTCACTCCTACAACGAAGATACAGAGTTTATGTACAAGTTCACCCTTGTGTCAGGCTTAGAGCCAGAGTGATTATGTGATGATTATCTGGAAAAGGTGTTTGTAGAGAAAAATTTGAGAAGTGTCTCTTTCCTGAAGAGAAGAGGGTTCACTGAAAATCTTACCTCCATGGGATAGCAGGGAGCTATGATACTGTGTGATGTGTTCTCCCTCTGACTGCTGATATGGAAACACTTGATGGTGCATCTGTTTTCATTCCTAGTTTGTTTATACTGCTTCCAAAGGGAATAACTTTTTCTGGCATTGTTAAGTAAAAAAACCTTTTAAAAAAGCATCCACAAAGGGACTTAGTGCGGAAAAAAAACCACCAAAAAACAAACTGACCAACAATTAGTCAGAGATAGGTTTAGATGGTAGTTTCCGTGCAGGAACTTCTTTCAAGACAACGGGAACAGAAAGTGATGAGCATCAGGCCCTTTGAGTTTGGCTGGGGTCCAAGTCCTGCTAGAGTGAACTAGAGGAAGTGGGTGAAAGCAAAACTAGCATGAACAAAACATTTGATGTGTGCCTGAAAGCAACAGCTTGCTTTGCCCTGCTGTGTGACTCCCTGAAAACGAAGTCTTCCACAAAAGCTGTTCAGAACCACATGCTGCTCTGGAAGTGCTGGCTTTTCAGTAGTGCTTCCTACACAGTGATAAATGGCTGGCCACCTACTCAGTCCTGCAAGTCAGTGCTACTGGGGAGGGGAATGTAGAGTTTCTTAGACTCCTAAGCATGAGCTTCTACAAAATAATATTCTACAAGATAATGTAAAATGGCATTTAGCAATGTCCATGGAGTTCTCCTCTGTTCTGAACAGGGTAGTTCATAACAAGATGCTCATGTTTTTTACATGGGAAAAGGAAAATAGAAATGGAAATAAAAAAAGCTTTTGGGATAAAAAATCTGAGTGCTTATGTTTAAATGAGGAAACTGTTGCTTTGCTATGAGAAGAAAAGCATCTATGGTCTAGCTTGATCCTGGGTGCTAACTGCACTGGTTTGAAGACCTTTCATTTATCCATGTTTGCTAGAGCTTTTCAGCCTCTGGAGAACTTTTGTAATGGTTATGACAATAAACCTGGATGTTTCTGTTGTAAAGTAGAGCAATTTATCTGGAGAAAAACATTTCACTTGTGAGGAGCTGTGGATGTTATTTCCCTGAATACTGGTGATTTCCCCATCATCCTGTCTACCAATATCTTGCAGCCTTGCAAGCAGAAGTTGCTCTTCAGTGTTCAGATATGTTGCAAGCTTGCCAAAGCAGCAGCTGCTATGTGGTATTTTTGCTATTGCATCAGGGCTGTATGAGTAATTGCTGCTTTGATGCTTTGTTTTCTGAAATTTTTTCCCCCCTCCTCACCTCGATGCTCATCAGAATTGGTGGCTTTTAAATACATGATCCACAGTGGCACATGTAAAATACATAATGTTTTAATACTGATAAATTGCCTTCTCTGCACTGAGCTTTTGTAATTTTGTCTGTGCTTTGTCTAATTAAAAGACTACCTGGATGGATGACAGGACGATTTATCTGTTTGCTTTCATTGTCTGTCTCTTCTTCCTTGGATCCTCTGTCTTGTTGTAGGACTAGCTGTAGAAAAAATTACAAATAATAGTAGTTGAACTAAGGTGGGGAGAATGATAGAGTAAATTTGTTTGTAGTTCTGAAAACCTGGGAAGTGAAACAATTGCAGCCTGAAATAAACCTTTTAAAAATATTTGACAAAGTAGAAACTTTTAGCCTTTTTTTGAGTAGGGGTAAAGGTATTTTAAATATTTAATTTGACTAAATAAAAATATTATCTTTAATCTGAAATGCTTTTATTTCCAACGTCTTTGTTAAAAAAAAAGAATTGAGGAAGCCTTTCAAATGAAAACTGTGTTGATAGAGAAGATGAAACTTTGTAAAGTCTTTTGTTTAAACAATTAGTCCTTCTCAATACTTGAGGACACTCTTAGCAAAACTGGAATGTTTTAATGCTGCTTAATCTGTGACATACTGAAGCTTCATGTCCAGTTTTTTCCTCTCCTCTGAAGTTAATCCTCCAAATGTGATGGATTTGTAATTCAATCTGGAAGGCACATGGAAAAAATTAGTGGCCTTTGCCTGTTAGGCCTCTGAGAGATCTTGCTCAAGGGTGACTTTGTTCTTGCTCGTGGGTTTTTCAGCCTTGCAGATTATTTCACCTTGGGTAATACAGCTCTGACCTGGTTGTTCCCTATGCCTTGCCCCATTGCATGTCCTGTGGAAGAATTTCACCAGGATAGTAATGCCCTGAATGGAAGCATCAATAGTGTGAACATTTGGAGTGTTTATTGCCATAATAGTTTGTTACAGATTTGTGTAGCTGGTGGATCTGGGCAGCACAAGCCCCTCCATTGCTTGGAGGAGGACCAGGGGAATGTGTGGTTAGGGAGTAACCTAGAGTAGTAAAGTTAGGGAGTAACTACTAGAGTAGTAAAGCTGATTGAAGAGATTCCTGCAACCTTCTGCCTCCGTCACCCACCCATTCTCTCCCTTGTGCTGGAGCTCTGTGACTCTGAAGTCTGGGACAGAAAATGCTGGGATGGCCTGTGGGGCCTGTCCTTGCAGCTGGAGGAGTTTGAACAGGGAATAGCAGCCTCACTGTGACTGCTGGGGGATTTTACATCTAAGTAATTGAAGCCTAATTTGTTTTTGGACTTCATTTTTGCATGGTAAGCAGAATCTGGAGATTCAATTGCGGCACAAACCTACTAATGGTTTGTGGAAGTTGAAACCAATTTGTTTGTGTTCTCATTAGCTGCTCAGGTTTCCGACATAAAAATAACCTTTTATCATGTACTGTTTGTTTCTAACAAGGGCTGACCCGAGTACCCTGGGGCTTTCCTACAG